AACATCATACTTAATGGTGAAAGATGAAAACTTATTCAGTAAGGTTGGTAATGGGCAAAGTTGTCTACTCTCACAGTGTCTAATTGATATTGTACTAGTGGTCCTAGCCATTGCAATAATACAGGAAAGAAAAAATTTAAATTGAAGTCATATGAATTAAAAAGGAAGTAGCAAAATTCTCCTTATTTGGAGGATTTATTTGATTGTCTGTGTAAAAAATCCTAAGAGTCTATAAACATAAAAGCGAATCTAATACACTAATTTGACAATGTTTCATGATAGAGGGTCAATGTACTATCAAAGAATAATTAGAAAATAAAATTCTAGAAAAGGCTATTCTAATCTATAGTGAATGAAAGCAAATCAGTGGTTGCCTTGGGTGAATGAAAGGGATAAGGAATGATTACAAATGGGAATGAGGGAACTTTTGGGGGTGATGGAAATGTTCTATATTTTCATTGTGATGATAGTTATATACATGGGCTCACACACATGTCAAAACTCATTAATTCCTATAATTAAAATGGATACATCTTATTATCTATAGATTTTGTGTCAATAAAGTCGAGTTTCAAAAAAATTTTTAAAAAATCATTGAATTTCCACTATACCAGTGATAACCTACTAGAAAAATATAATCAAACTCATGTCACAATTCATAATAGTCTACCACTGCCTTTCATCACCAAGAGTATCTGGGGATTACCTAAAAATACGTAAGATCCTTACAGAGAAAAAATTTAAATAAAATAAACCTAAATAAATGGAGACATTGAATATGTTTATGAATAGAGCAACCTAGATGTCAAATCTGCCCACATTAATTCTTTAAATTCTGTTCAATCAATTCCAATAATTTTTTTTGACATTTGTAAATACTCTAAAATTCAGAAAAAAATAAAAATACACAAATAGCTAAGGTAATTTTGAAAAATAAAAAAAGAGCAAAGAAAGGAAACTTTGTCTTATTAGATATTGAGACCTTCTACGAAGACAAGATAATTAAGATAGTGGGTTACTAGTGTAGGAACAGACACACAGACAAATAGAATAAACAAAAGAATTCAGAAATCCATCATCTATGATAAAGAGGCATCGGGATTCAGTGGAGGAAAAGAAATGAATTATTTAGTAGATTCTGTTGGAGTAATGGGCTCACCGGATAAAGGTGAATAAAATCGTGGCTCTAATTCAAACCACATTCAAAGATGAACTCAAAAAAAGACCTAAATGTGAAGGAGAAATGCTACATATTCAATAGAAGAATATGTAAAATAATATCTTTTTGACCTTAGGGTGGTAAAGATTTCTTTAATAAGATACCAAAAGCATAAACCACATGGCAAAACTCAGTAATCTTGACTACATCAAAATTAAAAATATCTGTTCAAACATGGCCACCAGATCCATAGTTAACTGATGAGTGGCAGATTGAGAGGAGATAATTAACATTGTCTAAAACCAACAAAGGAATAGAGTCTAGAATATATAAGATTTGGCAACTTAACAAAAGAAAGACAGCCTATCCAATGGGAATATATGAATAGCTCCTAGAAGGGGAAGCTAAATGGCCAATAAGTTTATGAAGAACTGTTTAACCTCATCATAATTAGAAAGATGCAAATTAGAATAGTAACGAGATGCTAACTGGCAAAAATGAAAAAAGTCGGAAAGAAAAGACAAAATGTTAGTGAAAATGTGGGCAAACAGGAACCTTCCGACCAGCTCTTGTGCCAGCAGTCAGGACCAAGGGAGCACCATTCTCCAGAGACACAAGGAGCCACTGTCCTCGGTAGCTCTGGGGCTGTCAGCTTGGTGCTTGGGCAGGAATGGCATGGAACCATTTCAAGTGGCTCAGTGCAGCTGTAAATGAACTGCCAGGTTATCTTTAAGAGCTGCCTGGATGTGGGCCGACAGGAGAGAGACCAAGATGGCATTCAGGTCTTGGCACTTGATCATACTGAATGGGAAATTTTAGGAGAGGGGACTATAGAGTGCAGTATCTTTCTATTTAGGAATATGCAAAATAGGGTGGGAGAAAAAGAGGCCTGCTGTGGGCCCTGGAACACTAACACCTACCCTTCCCCTACCCCGCCCCACCCTGAACCACCTCTCAGTTTTCCTCCCAGGAGAGAAAGAGGTAGATATGAGTGAAGAAGGTAGATATGAAGCAGATATGAGTGAGATTCTTAGATCTGGCTCCTCTGATGCTACCGACATGCTCTGGAACCCCATGCAGGAACCCTCTGTGCCTCCGAATCCTCATCCAGGCTGTGTGAGGGGCTCCTGCCCCAGCCTACCTCACAGAACAGGTTACATAAATACAAAAACCTGTAATTTCAAAATGCAAGCGGTGGGCTGGACCACTAGGAAGAGTGTGCTGGGCTGCTTTGAGGTTTGACCTATTTATTTTTTGCCGGGAGCTTTTTTGGAAACTCTTTATTAAGGTTTTTCCTTCCTTCTTCCTTTCTTCTCTCTGATGTTGACGTCAGCACAAAAGCCAGCGTGGGCAGGAGATGGGCATTCACAAACAGTGCGGAGCAACGAGTCTGTTCCTGGCCCTTCTTCTCTCTAGTTTCCGGTCTCTGCAAGAGTCTCATTGAATCTCAAGGACAAAGGACGAGGCTCTTCATCCTCTGTCCCCTGGAGGTCTCACTTTCTGGTTCTTCTGTTTAGCAACCCAGTACTGGGGTCCCAAGCAGAGGCCTCAGGTCCCAAGTTTGTCCTGGGCCACCTAGGCCTAAGGTACACTTCCCCTCCCCCCACCTATTCCTCCAAAAGTAAAAGGAAATAAAAAAAAGAAGAAGAACTTTGAGTCTGCAAAGTGTGGCCCCCATAGAATATTCAGGAGACAGAATAGACTTAGCCGTGGGATGAAATTCTGGCCATCAGCTTCACATCCCCTAACACGTTCCTTACCTGGCTGGCAGATGTCTCAGAATTTTCCATCAGAACTAAAAACGAACAAGGAAAACTTGAGCCTAGCCAGAAGAATCCCATTAGGCCTTGTCAGTCATTTACGCCTCAGTGTGAGTGAGATACTCAGAGCCTTTCCTGAGGGTAGAGTGTGAGAAAAAGATTCTAGAGCCCTCCAGAGGCCTGCCGTGTAAGCGGAGAACTTCTAAGCGGGAATGAGGCACAGGTGACAAACCCCACCCACTCCTGGCTGCCTCCGGTTGGGATTGGCCTGCCCAAAGCCTACCCAAGTCCTCCAGGATGCTGGCCGGTTCCCCGGTCCCCTGCCCAACCCTGCTGCTCAGGTTGGTACCCGGTGTCGGATCCACTTGCATCCCTCGACCCCACTTGTCCACCGCTTCCTCTTCTCCCTTCTCTCTCTACAGACCTCTCCATGCCCTTTTCATTTTCTCTTTCACTTTTTATTTTATTCTCTCATTTTTTTTTCTTTCTCCTTCTCAGCTTTTGTCTTCCACTTTCTCTCGCCTTTTACCTTATTTTCTTTTGCCCTGTCTGTCGCATGCTCTTTTACTTTCTCTCACGCTCTTCTACTTCATTTTTATGTTCTCTCACTTACATTTTTGCTACCGTCCTCAGCCTGACCTTCCGGACATGGTGTCTCTCTTTACTTCCCCAAGTATTTTTTTGGATGTTCTTCGACAGAAAAGAAGGTCTTATTCATGTAAATGCACCACATCGGATGAGCATGCACGCTCTTCTTGGTCTTTCTCTTTCCTTTCTCCCTTTTCCCACTTTCATTACTTTTGTCTGTGCCTGCCCTCTCTCCCCCCTCCTTCTCTCTCCCCCCTCCTTTTCTCTCCTCCCTCCTTCTCTCTCCCCCCTCCTTCTCTCTCCCCCCTCCTTCTCTCTCCCCCCTCCTTCTCTCTCCCCTCTCCTTCTCTCTCCCCCCTCCTTCTCTCTCCTCCCTCTATCGCCTTCTCTTCCCCGATCTTCTCTTTCAGCTGTGTGAACATCTCAATTTGCGCCACGTCGGCAGATGCAGAACTGCTGATCTGACATTTTATACTAGGTGTGTCTGCTTTAACTATTCCACTTAAAAATGAAACCCATCTGCCCCAAACTGAAAACAGCCTCTCCCCCACCAGGGACAATAAATATTGATGACTTGAGGCATGATTGGCTTTATGATGTTTGATGACAACTGGTATCAGTTACAGAACTTACATCATTTCATAAAAAAAAAGAAAGAAAGAAAGAAAGAAATGAAAAGCCCTAGCAGGGATGTTGCACGTCAACAGACATTATTAAATGTCAAAAGAATTACATTTTCTTCAAGGGCCTGAAATCTAAGCAATGTGAGGGTGCCGGGGAGGGGTCGGCTGGGGGAAGTTTGGACAGCTTTTATGTGGAGTTAAGAATATTGTTTCTTTTTGTGTCCACCCTAATTTGTGCCAGTTGAGTTTTCCTAGAGCCTTAACCGTAGCCACAAAGCCTTTCTGAAGAAGCCCTCTTCCTTTTCATTATTCGAAAAGCTGAGCCCATTTGCCATCTCTCTCCGTCCCCCATAGGAGACCTCTCAGAGCACCGGCGGGAGAAGACTGGACATGCCGAAGGACACAAGGGCTGGGAGCCGAAGGTGAGGTGAGAACACTCGTGCCTCTCTTTATTTTTATTGTCAGTATAAAATCAGGACTGTCTGGCTCTGAAATTGAAAGCAAATAAACCAAGATCTGGCATATGAGCCTACTGTGCTTCTATTTATACCCTGATAAGTTAAATGTGAATATTAAAGCAGTGGCTGCCAATATGCCTATTTGGGGGACATTCAGTCATTAAAAAAAAAAAAAAATAGAAGGGTAGAAACATTTACTGCTATTTTAAATGCATTTATATGCTTTACGGAGCTGGATTTTGACTACTTCCGGAGACTCACTTGGGTATATTTAGAAGGATCATAAATTCCTGTGGTCTTGAGGGTGGTTTGGTGAATTAAGTCCCTAAAGGCTTTTTTTTTTTTCTCATTGAAAAGGTTAACATGACTTCTTCAAGTTACTAACTGACCTCCCTTCCACCCCCATGAGCTTATGCAGTGGGAGATCAAACTCAGTTTTAATCCCTACAGTTATTGCGATCTTCTAAAGAAGGTTCTGGAAAAAGAGAATAGAACGGCATTAGAAATACAGGGATATGTTACTTGACCCTACATTTACAAAACAGGGTCATTATCGATATCTATCTGGCAGGGTCATTGTGGGGGTCCCCAAAATATTGTTAGAAATGGAAGAGGGCTGAGAGGTGTCTATGCTGGAGAAGGAATGTGTCCCTGGGTCACTTGGAGATCACTGGACTTTGGGCACTTAACAGTTAGGGACTTTGGGCAAATCGTGTATCCTTTTAGAGCCTCAGTTTTATCATCTGTGAAATAAAAATGCTAATACCAACCTCTTAGGCCTTTACTGGGTACTAAACGCAAAGTGTCTGAAAGTGTTTCAGAAACAATGAAGAGCTGCATTCTTTCATTCAGAAATACTTTGGAACACTGACGGTGTGTAAGGCAAGCTTCTAGGAGCCGGGGGTGGAGATAGAAGTTATCAGAGTTCTGTTGAGCAGGGGGAAATTGTAGCCATCCCCCAGGCTAGGGAGGAATTTCAGCAAAGCTGGAGGACTGGGGGCGGAAGAATTTCCAAAGGGAGATGTGAAAGAACGACTGGGTCTCAACTGCCTAAGATATGGCGGTTGGGGAGGTGGGCACTGGGGAGTTGGGAGGTTGCCCTTCCTTGGTTGACAAGTTGTCCAAGGCTGAAAGAAGCACAGGAATATGGTACTGAAGGTAAAGAATGACAGTGAATTTGGATAAAGGAAGGTGTGGAGGCTGGAAGGATGAGTGCAAGACCTGGCATGAGGTGAGCAAAATGCAAGGTTTGTTTGGATTTTTGTTACAGATATTGCCATTGTGTTCACACTTACAAGATTTTCCTTGTTTTCTCTTTGCGTGGTTAAGGTTGGAATGAAACTGGAATGCTTGGCAGGGCCACGTCCAGGTTCAGACAGGCCCTCCCTGATCCAGCCCATTACCTAAATGATCTGAGTCACCTAAGTTGGAGGAATGGAGTGGGGGCGGGAGGAGGGCGGGGAATTGGCTGGATTCTCTCAGAAATGACTTTCCTGTGAATTGTCCAGTAATTCTTTCTCTTAGCCAAACCAGAAAAACCACTGAACCTGAGGTATTGGCGTGGGTGATGAATTCTTTAAAGGAGAATGGCTATAAAATGAGAATGGTTCCCTTAAGAGTTCACTTAGTCCTTGGAGTGTGTGTGTGTGTGTGTGTGTGTGTGTGTGTGTGTGTGTGCGCGTGTGCGCATGCATGCGTGCACGCATGCACAGGGGAGGCGGTCCGGGAAGGCTCTCACTTTTTCCAAATGAACTTCCCCAAACTAATTAAGAGCAAGTGCAAACCGATGGGGAGGGTGTATTTCATAATTGAAACGGGCTCTCTACCACTGACCACCATCAAATTTTTAAAATATCACTGTCTCCTCCTCTCCTCCTTTTGGAAGTTGTCCCTTTAAGGGAGGTAGGCAAGCTGGCACGGTTTACCTCCAAGGAATTTAAGAAAATCAACATGTTTTCCTTTCCTGGTTGCATCTGTGGTTGAATCGCTCAAAATATTTCACTTCTTAAAGTAACCTCGGTTTGTTACAGTGGATTTTCTTTGTTTTGTTTTTTATCCTCCTTGGGTTTGTTTGTTTGTTTGTTTGTTTGTTTAGCTTTCTTAAGGTAGAGAAGACCAGCTCCAGGATAAGAAAAACAAAAAACCTGACGACTTCTAGTTGTCAGATTCGGAATGCATATCAGTTATGCTGGGAGACAATGAAAACATCAAAAAGCACATACAAGCCATAAAAAATTCAGGTCCTCTGAAGCAATGTGGGACACGCTTGGTTGTGCTCCTCATTTGCATGTCGGTACCCACAATGCTCTGCAGGCTCCCAGATCTTTCCGAGCAGCCCCAGTGTCTAAGCTCTAGGGAACGAAGTGAAAGGTTCGGGAGCGCTTGTGGGTGAGGGAGGTACTTTGGAAAAGCGATGCGGTGTTGGGGAGAGAGCCGCTCCACGGCGGTGATTAGCAGGCGGCCCTTTAGGGCTTAATCACAAGCTTGGGAGCTCTACCTTGCCTTCGTTTTTGTTTTTGGTTTGTTTTGTTTCCTGCTTTCCTCTTCTTCCCGTTCCCCATGCTGCACTGGGAAGGGGGAGAGGGAGGGACGCCAACCTTTAGAAGTCCTGGCTGGCTGGGTCGCTGCAGCACTGGCCTGAAATTTGGGATTGATGAGCAGTGTGTTTTCCAATGCTAGTCCTCACCCCAAGACACATTGGCTTTTTCTACGTTTGGGGTCCCATGGACAGTCCTTACTTAGTTGATGCGAATGACTTAGAGGTGCCACCGTAACCCACTGCTGGAGACAGGGGTTTCCTCTCGACCCTGCCAATGGAGCAGCTTCCGACTTTACTCTTCGCGCCCACACACCATGCTTTTTCCCTCCAAACTTGGCTCCCCAAAGAGTCCAACAGAGCTGTTGTTGGAACATTCCAAATTCCAGGGATGGCTTGAGAATACAGGCCTCAAACTAAGAGTAGGAGGAGGAGAGACATAAATTTGGCCCCTGACTAGGCCCCTTTGGCCTCCTGGGTGGTCTTGGGTGTGTCACTTACTATGTCTCCTTTCCTTCCCAAGCCTGTCCTGTCCTGGGAGCTATAAAGGATCTGTGACTGTTATTCCACCTGTGATTTTAACATGGCCAACCATTCTGGGACATGACAAAATACATAAAAAATAAAAATAAAGTTTAATCTTTGAGGCTTCTACCTGGAAGCTTTTTGTCTGGGTTCATACTTTGATTTTTGAGCTTCACGGTTCTCAAAGCTGCAGAGGAGTTCTTAGGCTAGATTAATTTAGCGTTAGGAAGATCTGGGCAGAAGAGTGAATGTGGATACATGTGGGCTCTCAGCCCACCCCCTGAAACCCCAAGCTTCAGAGGTAAGATAAAAGTCATCCCCTACCCAAAGTTCAGAAGCAGGCTGCCCTGCAAACTGGATCCAGCCGACAGATTTGTTAGCTCTAAGCCTGTACACAGTCGTTGTACAATGTGTTGAATCAGTTGCCAACATTTGAAATTCAGAAGCTTTTACAGCATCTTTTAAAACATCTGAAGATCTGGCTGCACTAGACCTACGTCTCTTCATAGCAATCACCAGCCAGGGTTACACAGACAGTGCCCCCTGGTGGGCGGGAGGCTCTCTGCTCCAGCAGGGCCTGCCATCTCTGGTCCACCACAGTCCCCTGAGCAATTTTGGTCTCAGGCCACCCGCTCCACTTATGGATGTCCCTGTCTGGCTTTTGCAGGCTTTTGCATGCTTGGCCTCGGCCAGACTTACAGCCTCTGAGTCCCAGAGTTTTTCTGCTTTGGTATCAGCAGCATTGGCAGATGATCCAGCCCTCAGGTTGGGCCAGTTTTCCTAGCGGGAATAGAGGGGAGGCAGCACTGAGGGCCTTGACTCATAAGCATTCCCGACTCTTTCACCCCAATCCCCAAACGTGCTCTGCATTAGCAAATGTGTTTTCCACCTGCTGTAGCCCGAGGAGGAATCCGCTCTGGCCTCCCATCTCCTCCTGGCATAAGTATTTCCATTCACTTTGGATGCCTAGAGCAGACCGGGGTGAGGGGTGGGGTGGCAAGGGTTGGATTTTTAAGAATTCTTTCTCCCGATTTGTTGTGTCTAATTTGGGCTGCATATGGGTTTTGGTGTCAACGACTAACCACTGTTTGGTCTGCATAGCCATCTCTGTTGAACTTGGATGGCGGCAAAAGCCCAGTTTCCCCAAATAAAGTCTAACTACATTTACACATTTATTCCCACGAGTATCTTTATGTTTCTGCCTGTCTCACCATACCTCAGACACATCCATGAGTGGGAGCGGCCTGGGAATTAAGTGGGCAGGTAACTTGAACCTCTACTGTAAACTTCATAATAGAAAAAAATCAGCAAGTCGACCCCAGTCAGATGGTGGGAGGTAAAGATGCTCAGAGCAAGGATGCAAGAACGAGAGCTTGGGCTGCCATTTCGTTGTTTCCTTATGACCTAAAGGACAAATAATATCACCAGAGAGAAGAATGAGAAGTAAAGTAGAAAGTCGAGAGAAATAAGTGAAAAGGTCACTTTTAAAAATTATTCCTCCTTTCTCCCCCAAAATCTAACTGGGATTCTTTATCAACAATACGTTAAACGTTCACCAAGTTATGAGACAGGTATAATAACAGGTGATGCCAGGTTTTAACAATACTGATGATGACAGTTACCATTTCCTAAGAGCTCGCTATGTTCTAGTCAGACTATCAGGGGCTACTGTGCATTGACTCCTTTAATCTTTATAACAGCTCTGTAAGGTGGATACGTTATTTCCATTTTACAGGTAGGAAAACTGACACTTAGCCTGGTTAATTAATTTGTTCGAAGTCCCAGAGGTGGAAAGGAATGGAGCTGATATTCCAATCGCACCACTCTCCTCTACGATCTGGGCCTGGGCAGGAAGATTTGATCCCCCCCACACCAGCTGGTGAGAGTAAGGATCCAACACGTGGCCTGCCTTGCCCATGACTGGCTTGGAAACTGGCACATTGGAGTGTTTGAGAAGACTGGAGAAGGACAAATGGTTTATTTAGCCCGTTAATTCCATTGCTAAAAATGACCCCCAGAGATGTACCACGGGAGGCCCACTGGCTCCTCTCTGATGAAACCCCTAATCTTTAGAGATGATCTACCTCTATGCCAGTTGATCGAATGGGCCACTGACTGGCAGATTTGATGATTTCTTCACCTTGAATACTTGTGGCCAGGCCTGTGGATATGAAATGTGCTCGTCTGAGGGTGCTGGGACCTGGCTGATCTGACAAGGCCATCCCTGATGCAAGGCCAGGGTGGAGAGGCAGAGTCAGAACTGAGGGGACACCCCATCTTCCTCTGTATCATGTCTGAAGAGGGTGATGAGAATGGAATGGGGGACTGAGTCCCAAAACACAAGGCTGGAGAAGATACAGTCATTATCAGTGAACCCTGAGTCAGAACTGGGCAACTTTTTATACGGTGACAGTCAGATGTGGGCAGTGACTTAAATAAGCTGGGCTGTGCTGAAGGCTCAACTTTTATACACCCCTGCCATAGATGCGGAGCACCTACGGGAGAGGCATCGCGCTAGGAACTGTGAGAGAAATGAAAATGAACAAGGCAGGTCCTCTGCCTTTTAGCAGCCTCCTCTATTGCAAGACAGCTCTAACAGAGACTCAAAGTTCAGTGGGGGAGAGCAGCTCATTCTAATGGGGGAGTCGAGGAGCATGCTCCCCGGGTCAGTCACCAGGCATACTCATCTTTTCATCCCCCTATGTGGACCACATATTTGGGCCTCCAGTGGGCATTAAGTAAACGTCCATTGATGAGCGACTGCCTCAGTCGATGATTGAAGTTTTCTTGGGGCTCTTGGAAAGATTTGTGGGAGAAGTAGAAATTTAATGTACGTTGTACCCGTTAAAGTTAGACTTGCTCTGGAAACACATGTCTGAATTAACAGTTGTAATCAATAATTAAAGATTTATTTTTATGGCATGTAACATAAAGTCTAGAGGCTGAGAATCCCTTGGCAAGATGGCAGCTTCATGGTCATCAGCAACCCGGGTTCCTTCGATCTTTCTGCTCGTCTCTCTTAAGCTTATGCATTCCATTTCCAAGGTTGCCTCATGGTAACGAGATGGCTGCTGCAACTTCATTTATCACATTCATATTCCAGGCAGAAGAAGAAAGAGGAGAAGAACAGCTTTTCGAGAAGCCTCAACTGACTTTTCATTGGCCACTTATAATTACAAAGGAGACCAGGAAATATGTTCTTTTATCTGGGCACATCGTCGGTCTGAGTAAAATCTTGTTTCTGTTAGTAAGGAAGAAGGGAAGAACAAGTAGTGAGCAAACAACTGCAGACTTTACCTTGCAAGATTCAGCCTTCTCTATGGAGAAAGAGAAGGTAAGGAATTCACCAAGGTAACTCTCGTCTCATTCATGTGCCGTGAGGGGCACAGCTTTTAGATATTTTTTTTACTGTGGCCTGATGATGTGGCAAATACAATGTATGGATGCCTGGGGCACATAATGACTTCCTTCACTATTCAAACTCTACTGCCAAGAGCTTGGTTAATTGCACTGACTTTTCCTTCATTATTTTTAGCTGTTTAAAGTGCTTTTAAGAATGCTCAGCCTCTATTTCTTAATGAAGCTTCTGGTGAAAAATGGAATCTGACAGGTATGTGGACAGAACTGCCCTGTGGTGCCTGGTAGAGCTGGACTTGTGAGCTGGGCAGGTAGATGAACAGATAGGCAGAAAATGTCTCCAGTAAACACCCAGTATTACTCAACAGCAAACTCACTGCCTCTCGCTAACTCATACAAGCTCTTATAGGACATTTAATGACTCTGCTAAACAGAACACTAGAGTTTCTCACTTTTTTTAAGGCTACAAAAATTCAAGCTACTGTGTAAGACAAGTGCCAAATTTCCACTCATGTGTTTGTTCAGCTTTCTTTGATTTTCCCCCAAACCCAAACCAAATAGACACTCTTGGTTTTCCCAAGATGGCAACCCAACAGCCAACCATGTGTTCTCAGATAAGGAGGGCTCCCTTGACACAGATTGCTTAATGGGGCTGGGATATTTTCCAGTTTTTTTTTTTTTTTTAGCCCAGGAACAGGGAAGCTGGAATGAGGTTTCTGAAGAGGAGAGGCAGAAATGTGAAATGGAAGCTCTTGGAGTCCTTCTGCCCAGTTAAAGATGGCTGAAGGGATGGACCACTTCCTGGTAGAACCATCAGCTTCTACCAGGCGTGGAGGATGTTGAGATTATTCAAAACCCTACATCTCACCAATGTTACAATATCTGGATAAAGACTCACTGAAAGGACAGAATAAATTTTTCATATCATTCCTACTTGCAATTATTTACAAGTGTCTTTCCTTTAGCTTCACTGTAAACTTCACACAAACAAGGAGTATGTCTTTCTTCCTCTTTCTTCTAGTTCCTTGTGGGGAACATAAGTAGTGCTCAATAAGTACTAGGTCGATGTCTGTAGAGATAACACTATCTAATTTCTTTCTGAAACAACGTCTGACTTGGCTTTTCCTGTCTCCTTTGTTGCCAGGCTTTTGACATATTTTCTCCTGGGCATTTTCTTTGTTTATTTGTTAGTGGTTGAGATTATATTGTAAATATACACAATTGTTTACAATGTAATATGTGATATAATTTAATATAATGTGATACACAATTGGGTATAATGCTTTGTCAAGTAGCATTATAGCATAAGCATGTTCCTATGTGTTGTATAGACTAAGCTGCTGTAATAAACAGACCCCAAAACACAGAAGCTTAACTACAATAGAATTTATTTATTTCTCAAATGACAGTCTGAAGATAGATTGGACAGCTCTGCTCCATGAGACCATCCAGGGAACAGACTGGAGGAGCAGCCCTCTCTTCCTTCTTTAACACATTGTCTCTAGATCCTGGTCCCTGGTGGCTCCTCCAGTTTTCATCATTTCCAAGCCAGGGAGAAGAAGGAAAGAGAGAATGGAGGACAAGCAGCTTCCAGAACGTGTACACTACATTTGGTCTCCAAATATGTGTGGTAACTTTGGGTTTTCTCTTCAAGATGTAGAGCCTTCGTTCTGACATTCCTTAGGAGCTACAGACCACAGTGGAGTGGCCAGTTACCCACCATGTTCAAGTGTGAGCCAAGACCAGATATGCAGAAACTTGGACCAAATGAGAACTCTGGACAGGAGAGCAGCTCAGTCATAAACAATAGCTACAGGTAAATCAAGCCAAGGCTGGGTGGAAAAACATTGGTAAGGACAGAATGGCAGACAAGGCAAATGTAGGTGTGTCGTCAGAGACCAGACCAGAGATAAGCTCCCTGGGGGTATTGCTCAGCCAAGGGTGGCTGTTGTCTTTGGCTTGGGGCTACCTGGCTCTTCTCTAGTTTTTCCCCAATCAGTGTAGCCCCAAGCTGATCTGGATATTAAAATGCTACCTTTGTCCATGTTGGATGTTCCTCTATCTTAAAAACTCTGGGCAGGCTGGGAGCTTAGTTGTCAGGATCTGGGAAAGGAGAAGAGGGTGGGTGGTATTATCACCACGCTGGGACTCCATAATCTCCTGTGAGCCTCTGTGTGATGGTCAGCCGGAGACATTTTATTGGGAGCAAATGAACATGTGTTTCTTGGCTGACACGTGTAGTAGGAACAGACCAATGTGACAGAGCAGGAGGCAGTACAGTGTAAGGTGGGGGAGAAGCACAGAATAGTTATCTCTGGGGACAAAGACATCCCTGACACTGTCATTTTTAACCTAAATGATCTTAGGTGACACACTGGCCTTTCTGTACTCATGTTTCCCCATCTATAAAGTGGAACCAATGACCCATTTCAGGGATCAGCACACTTTTTCTGTAAAGGGCCGCATAATAAATGTTTTAGATTTTGCAGGTTTTTGTCATAACTCCTCAACCCTGCTGTTGTAGAGTAAAAGCAGCCATAGATGATATGGAAAGGAATGGCAGAAGCCATGTTCCAATAAAACCATTTATAGAAACAGGTGGCTGACCGTTTCATAGGAGAGTTGTGATAATGAAATGAGATACTACTACAGGCCTGCCATACTGAGAGCTACTGTCATGAGCATCGGAGACAGCCAGAGAGGAGCTGGTGGGAGTCATTCACCACTCCTTAGGCTGTAAGATCTGGCTCCTCATCTGTTAATGAGATACTGAAAGGGTCCCCTTCCCCCAATTTTTCTTCCTGGGAGCCGAAGTGCCAAAAGGAAGAATCTTGGCATTTTCTAAACAGATCTAATGGCACATGTTTCTTCTACATTAGTCACTCTTTGTAATTATTTTTGAAGACGAATGTTTTCTAAGATGTACGTAGGGAAACATGGCTGCAGCCATGAGAAGAATTTATGAGAATTTTCTAGCTCCTCTTCTTTTCCATACTGTATGTTCGTCAAAGGACATTTCTCCTTGTCAGTGTTGTCAGTTTGGTCCTCCGAGGGAAGCACTTGGAGAGGAATTCTCTAGACTCTGAGACCCCTGAGTGAGCTGCCTGATGTTGGAGGTAGCTCAGACCAATGGCCAGAAACAGAAATAGAAACAGATTTCTGCAAGATTTTTCATCACGGAACCTCTAAAAGGAACTGTCAGAGCAGAGATTCTGAATCTAGTTTAGGGCAGTACCTAAAAATGTCATTAAATAATAATTTTTAAGAATAACTTACATAAAAGGTCCCCAGGTGATTTGCTGCTCAGCCGAGTATCTGCTCAGCTCTTGGCCTGCCTCCCAGCTGAGCTTAACTGGCCTGCGCTGTGTCGCTATTCCAAAACCCCCC